GGCTGTGATGGGAAGGGTGTGAGCTGTGAAGGGGGGGGGGGGGCTGTGATGGGAAGGGGAATGTGATGTAAGGGTGGAGCTGTGATATGAAGGGGGGGGGGGGGCTGTGATGGGAAGGGGGATGTGATGTAAGCTGTGTGAAGGGGGGGGGCTGTGATGGGAAGGGGAATGTAATGTAAGGGGGAGCTGTGACATGAAGGGGGGGGGGCTGTGATGGGAAGGGGAATGTGATGTAAGGGTGGAGCTGTGACATGAAGGGGGGGGGGCTGTGATGTGGAATGTGATGTAAGGGTGGAGCTGTGATATGAAGGGGGGGGGGGCTGTGATGGGAAGGGGAATGTGATGTAAGGGTGGAGCTGTGATATGAAGGGGGGGGGGGGTGGGGGGGCTGTGATGAGGGTGGAAGCTGTGATATGAAATGTGGGAAGTGGAATATGATGTAAGGGTGGAGCTGTGACATGAAGGGGGGGGGGGGCTGTGATGGGAAGTGGAATGTGATGTAAGGGTGGAGCTGTGATATGAAGGGGGGGGGGGGGGCTGTGATGGGAAGGGGAATGTGATGTAAGGGTGGAGCTGTGATATGAAGGGGGGGGGGGGGCTGTGATGGGAAGGGCAATGTGATGTAAGGGTGGAGCTGTGATATGAAGGGGGGGGGGGCTGTGATGGGAAGTGGAATGTGATGTAAGGGTGGAGCTGTGATATGAAGGGGGGGGGGGCTGTGATGGGAAGTGGAATGTGATGTAAGGGTGGAGCTGTGATATGAAGGGGGGGCTGTGATGGGAAGGGGAATATGATGTAAGGGTGGAGCTGTGATATGAAGGGGGGGGGGGGGGGCTGTGATGGGAAGTGGAATGTGATGTAAGGGTGGAGCTGTGATATGAAGGGGGGGGCTGGGATGGGAAGGGGAATATGATGTAAGGGTGGAGCTGTGATATGAAGGGGGGGGGGGGCTGTGATGGGAAGTGGAATGTGATGTAAGGGTGGAGCTGTGATATGAAGGGGGGGGGGGGGGGGGTGCTGTGATGGGAAGGGAATGGAATGTGATGTAAGGGTGGAGCTGTGATATGAAGGGGGGGGGGCTGTGATGGGAAGTGGCAATGTGATGTAAGGGTGGAGCTGTGATATGAAGGGGGGGGGGGGGGTGTGGGAAGGGCAATGTGATGTAAGGGTGGAGCTGTGATATGAAGGGGGGGGGGGGCTGTGATGGGAAGGGCAATGTGATGTAAGGGTGGAGCTGTGATATGAAGGGGGGGGGGGGGTGGGGGAAGGGCAATGTGATGTAAGGGTGGAGCTGTGATATGAAGGACTATCACAAATAGAACAGGACAGGATGTTTTCAAAAATCAAAAACATTGTTTGTTCTGTAAACTGATGGTGCCACCAATGATTTCGAAAATCGGTCGTTTTTCACGAATTTCCCAGCATGCCCGATAAACAAAATGGGGGAGGAACCACAAAAATCGGCCGGTGTCATCACCCCACTAACAGCGAAAATCAGCTGATTTATTCTTAGGTCCGGTTTTCGAAGCCAGAGAGAAGTGGTTGCTTTTACAGCCTTTATGGGTGTAAAAGCAATGTGTAAAAAAAAAAAAATCCTCATCACCCCCCACAAGTAGTACAGTGTCAGTGACATGGTGACAGTATGTTTTAAAAAAAACCCAACATAAATAATATTAAAAAATAAAATAAAAATGAAATTTTTTTTGAAAAATTCTTATTTTTGGTTCTAAACTAATTTGGGTTATTTTTTTTACTAAAATGACGGAATACATTTTGGCCAAGATTTATGAAGAAAAATTATTTATTTGCAACATTTTTTATAAGAAAAACTTTTTTTCAAAATTTTTGTACTGTTTCATTTATATAGCAAAAAAAAAAATCCCAGTGGTGAATAAACACCACCAAAATAAAGTTTTATCTGTCTCAAACAAATGCAAAAAATGTCATATGGGTACAGTGTTGCATGACCGCGCAATTGTTATTCAAAGTGTGATGGCGCTGAAAGCTGAAAATTGGCCTGGACTGGATATATGGGCGCTATTGCCGCACTGATTTCCCAACGTGGCGCATTCACTACTTCGGGATGCGACTTTCATAGACATCTGACACCTCAAGTCAGAATGACACCCGACTTTGAAATCGTACAATTTCACTGGAAGTCGCACAATTTTAAAGTCGGATCCGGTGCGACCCGTGAACTTCAACAATAATCTTCCCATAGGATCAAGTATGCATTTCATGATTTTATGTATATTAACCTGCAAACGCCTCCTTTGTGTAGACCTCCAGGAGACCTGCATTGCTGAAAAGAAAACATGACAGAAGAAGCAGAGGGATGACCTCATCAGTCTACTGCTTCTCCTTCACTGTCCAATCAACAGGCTGAAGACACCGCTGTATTTCTTCTGCAGTCTAAAAACTGTATTGGAGAAAGTTGCTGTGCTGTGTGGCGGAGCTGTGTAAATCTCAGGACCGGATGGATGGAAATACAAATCCTGCTGCAGGTAAAACCGTTCCCTTATATTGTTTTATCTGTTTTCCTTTGATTTCTGAATATTATATATTTGTAGAAAACTGCACAGTAAAAAAAAAAGTTTTTTCTACATTTAGTGTTTCCACCGATCATTGAAAGGTACCAGGGGCGGACTGACAACTCATGGGGCCCCCAGGGGCCCTGTGTCCTTGCCCAAACTCAAAAAAGCCTATGAAAAAGGTACCAAGGGCATCTCATGGGGCCCCCTACTGACCCCGGGCCCTCGGGCAGTGCCAAGTTTCCAAATGGTTTGTACGCTATTATTTCTCCCCAAGTTTTATTACGTGTCAGATTGCACAAGTTTCGGAACGTTCGCCGTAACCGGTCATCTTTCCAAGCTGTTCCCAATCATCTACTGATCTGAATAGGATGTTGTTTGTATCCAGCAAGGTGTTATATAAGGCAGGAAAGGAAAATGCTCCACCTAATCCCTCATGGCCAATTGACTATAAATAGAGCAGCGCATCTGCAGTACCAACATGTTATTCGTTTAAAATACTTACCACCAATAATAGAAAATGTAAAAAGTCACAGCTAAAATCATATTGGACAACAAAACCCTAGAGAAAAAAAAAATCCTAGAAATAAAACCCTAACAAAGAAAAATACCATCCCCAGAAAAAAATAAACCCCTAACCTCAGGAGAAAAAAAAAAAAAAAAAAAAAAAAAAAAACACAAAGAAAAACACAAACCGTAGAAAAATTTCCCCCCCCCCCCCAAAAAAATTTAAACTAGAAAATCCCCTAACCACATTAGAAAAAAATCATAACCCCAGAAAAAAAAACCCCAATCATAGAAAAAAAAAACCCTAACCATAGAAAATAAAACCCAACCATAAAAAAACCCCTAACTCCAGAAAAAAAAAACTAAACCCCAGAAAAACCCCTAAACCTAGTAAAAAAAACCCTATTAGAAAAAAAAACAAACCGTAGAAAAAAAAAAAACTACTAAAAAAACCCAAACCCCAGGAAAAAAAAAAAAAACACCCAAACTATAGAAAAAACCCAAACCATAGAAGAAAAACCTAAACCTTAAAAAAAAAAAAACCCAAACCCCAGAATAAAACTCAAACCCTAGAAAACAAAAAATACTGAAAAGCCCAAACCCCAGGAGAAAAATACCCAAACCATAGAAAAAATCCAAACCCTATAGAAAAACCCAAACCTTAACTCCAGAATAAAACCCAAATCTCAGGAAAAAAAACCCAAACTATAGAAGAAAAAACTAAACCCCATAAAAAAACACCAAACACCAGAATAAAAAACTCAAACCCTAGAGAAAAAAAACTACTGAAAAACCCAAACCATAGAAAACTTAAACCCTACAGAAAAACCCAAACATTAACTCCAGAATAAAACCCAAACCCCAGAACAAAAAAGTCCAAACCATAGAAGAAAAACCTAATCCCTATTAAAAACAAAAACCCAGAATAAAACTCAAACCCTAGAAAAAAAAAAAACTACTGAAAAAAACCCAAACCCAGGAAAAAATACATCCAAACCCTATAGAAAAACCCAAACCATAGAAGAAAAACTCAAACCCTATAAAGAAAAACCCCCAAACCCCAGAATAAAACTCAAACCCTTGAAAAAAAACGGCTGAAAAACCCAAACCCCAGGGAAAAGAAAACACCCAAACCATAGAAAAAATCCAAACCCTATAGAAAAAACCCAAACCTTAACTCCAAAATAAAAACCAAACCATAGAAGAAAAACCCAAACCCTAGAAAAAAAAAACTACTGAAAAAACCCAAACCCCAGGAAAAAACACCCAAATCCTATAGAAAACCCAAATCTTAACTCCAGAATAAAACCCAAACCCCAGAAAAAAATCCAAATCCCAGACGAAAAAAAACCCCAACCATAGAAGAAAAACCCAAACCCTAGAAAATAAACCCAAACCCCAGAAAAAACCAAAACCCTAGAAAAAAAAATAACCCTAACTCTAGAATAAAACTCAAACCCTTTAAAAAAAAAAAAAAAATCCTGGGACGATTTCCTGTGGTAGCAAAAAGTTACGGTGTGGCATATGGTGACCGCTCCTTCTACCTTCACATGTTACTTATATTAAAAGGGAGATTGTAAAAGTTCAAATATTTGTGAACCCGATAACTCTCAAAATAAAATCTCATATAAGCTTTACAATCTTACAGAAATTTCAGTGTAAATACATTCCAGGGGCATCAAAACGAAAAGGTGTGTAAAGTTTTTCAGCCACAGTCTGAGTAGAAAGGCCCGTCTCCTGCCAGCATACTGCAGAGGAGGACCTTTACTTTGTACGTTGAAGCCGTGGTCTCTCTGCAGAGGTCCAACACGCCCCCTGTAGAGTTGTTCAGTAGGTATTGTTCGGAAGAACGCAGAGTCTATTGGTTACTATGTCCTACAGATGGCGCTACATATATAATATGGAAACCAGCAGTACGAGGCGTTTGCACCATTTATTCATACAGTATGGATTGATATGTTGCTAGAGGTAGCTTACCTTTCCAGCAATTTGCTTTGTGAAGGATTCCACCAGTGCTTCCACTCCGTAGTCTGTCAGCATGGAAAAGTTGTAAATAAAGTTACTGTAGTTATATTCCTGTCCCATGATGATGAAGCCGTCGGGCATTAGGGGATGCCAGTGATACAACTGATTAAACTCCACAGCAATCCGGTTACGGTACTGAAACTGGACCCCAAAGAGCAGTTGCAGTTCGGATCAAATTTCAGTTTCAAGTAATAGCCGCTGAGATGTTGTACATAGTCTTCAATGACAATCTTAATGGTCTCTCCTGCAAGCAACAGAAAACGCAGATATAAGAATGGAAAGGCAGATATGGAGGGGTCTTGCAGAGCCAGCTAGGACGCAGGCAGCTTCTCCAGGAAGCCAGATAGTGGCCTCTGTTGCAAGGTCACAGGTGGCTTATGAAGGAAGCTGCCTAACATCCATCTGTTGCTAGGACGCAGGCAGCTTCTCAAGGAAGTCAGACAGTAGCCTCTGTTGCTAGGAAACAGGTGGCTTATGAAGGAAGTTGCCTAACATCCATGTGTTGTTGCTAGGACGCAGGCAGCTTCTCAAGGAAGCCAGATAGTGGCCTCTGTTGCTAGGAAACAGGTGGCTTCTGAAGGAAGTTGCCTAACATCCATCTGTTGCTAGGACGCAGGCAGCTTCTCAAGGAAGCCAGATAGCGTCCTCTGCTGCTAGGACACAGTTGGCTTGTGCCGCCCAGCATCCTTTTGGTGCTAGTAGTAGGCAGCAATTTTCGCCTAGTGCTCCATTGCTAGGACACAAGCAGCTTCTGAAGGAAGCCATGCAGCATCTTTCTGTTGCTAGGACGCAGGAGGCTACTGCTGCCTACCCTCCTCCATTGTTTAGGTGTAGGTAGCCTCCCAAGCAAGCCGTGTACTGTCCTCTGTTGCTAGGACAAAGGTGGATTGTACCACCCAGTATCCTTTTGGTGCTAGTAAGTAGGCAGAAGTTGTCACCTAGTGTCCTCCATCCAGCATCTTTCTGTTGCTAGGACACCGCTGGTTATTGCTGCCTAGCATCCTCCATTAGTAGGAAGTAGGTAGCTGCTCAAGGAAGCTGTCTACCATCCTCTGTTGCTAGGACACAGATGGCTTGCGCCACCCTTTTGGTGCTAGTAAGCAAGTAGCTTTTGAAGGAAGCCATCCAGCATCCTGTTGCTAGGACGCAGTCGGCTATTGCCACCTAGAATCCTCCTACGTTAAGATGCAGGTAGCTTTGCAAGGAAGCATCTTAAGAGCCCCATGTTGCCAGGACGTAGGTGGCTCCTATTGTTGCTAGTAAGCAGGCAGCAATTTTTTGCCTAGCATCCTCTGTTGCTAGGATGCAGGAAGCTCTTGTTCTCAATGGAGTACAGAATAAAGGATGCCAATACACTCCTCTTTGAAAGCGGTGGTTGGGTATTTTCTTTTACGTCCATGAAAATTGCCCTAGAATACAGGTGAATCCTAGACACCACAATGTGCCTGAACCTAGAGTGGCGTTCAGAGGCGTGTAAAACAAAAAATAAACAAAGTACAAATCTGAAAGCGGCTTTTTTATGTCTGCGTGCGTGTGCCTTCATTTATATTAGATTGTTAGCAAAGCTGGCTGAGCTCATAGGGCTCATAGGAGCGCTGCATAATATACCAATTCATAATCTAAACAGTGTAATAAAAATAATACAACAAATAAATGCAACACGGTCCACAAGTGCATTCAAAGTTTATTGTGATCAATACTAATTATTAAGCGAAAGTCCATATAATTAGATGATGGTGTCCCCACACTTACACTTCCTGTTAGGAAAAAAAGTGCCTCCACCACCACATGTCACCACTCCAGGAGGCCTCTTACCAAATCCAATGGACCACTGTATAAAAAGGGGCAGACAGAGCTTAACCCCTTCACACCTAAGTGTAAAACAAATCTTAATGCCTAAGCACAATTTTGCAACTTTGACCCGTGTTAGTAAAACCGTACATATCATCAAACTACTTTGTACATCCGGGTGGATTATACTGCGTTTTTAAAGGACAAATTGGGCTTTTATTTGGTGGTAAATGGTAATGGATATCTCTTGATTTTTTTTTTTCCTATTATCAAAGGAAAACTGGCCCAAAATAGTAAAAAAAAAAAAAAAAAATTTTTTTTTAATTTAGCTTTGTGTTTCTTGTTACTACCATAACCTACCACCAAAAAACAACCCATAATAAATTCTCCAGCTCTTGATGATCATGGTGATACCCTATATGTGTATGTTATTTGTTGTGTGTACCCGGAGTACAGCCAAGAAACAATAGTGCGCATTTTGTTTACCTAAAACACACTGACACTAACACCCATTTTTAAAAATAAATAAATAAATCCTGACCTTGACTTTTGACCCTGACCTTGACACAAATATTAACCGGCACTGAACAAGATCAAACCTTGATCTAGGTATTTTTTCTTTATTTTCTATTTTATTTTTTAATATATATTTATCCTTTTTTTTTAACAAACATTTTTTTTCCCCTCTATGACAGGAGTTAGAGAGATACAATGCATCTCTCTCCTCCATTCATAGAGAGAGAAAAAAAAAAAAACAAGGGGGCCGGGCTGTACAGTGACTGATCACTGTGATAGCCAATCAGAGGAATCAGTCTCCAAAATCCAGAGCAATAGATAGTTACGCAGGACTTTTGACAGTTCTTTTCTGCTCCCCATGGCTCAGTATCTAGCCTAGTCGGTGCTTCCACGTAAGAGCTAACAAACTCATTGACTATTTATACACTGACACTAATTGCAATTTAAAAAGCCACAGATGTGGAACATTAACCTCTAATTGGCATTTGTAACCCGTGTGTGTCACCTTGTGTGTATGTACCAAGGCCGGATATTCTGGGGGACGGAAACTTTTGAGGACCACTATAACTGGGCTCATAACAAGTGGAGGCAGTACACTGAAATAGAACACGCTTACCAATGAGAATCAGCCTTGTGGTTTGAAAGAGCTGCTCATCGCCCCACGTGGGATGTTCCTTCTTTAACACGTCACACACCCGATTGTGCTCACGGAGCCAAATAGTAGCATACATCATCAATCCGGGGAGAAGCCCAAACACCTCCTGACCCATCGCCATCTGCTTCTCTTTGGGGATGCTCTCCGGGTAGATCATGTGAACGGGAGCTTCGATCACTGTTGGTGGATACATATCGCCATTTATTATCTGAAGTGCAAAGAGACCCATGAAGAAATGTATTGTGTTAGCCATGACCAGGGACACATGCTGGTAACATACTGAAATCACTAAAGTATGACTTTTTATTATTTATTATTAATATTACCTATTATTTTTATATATCAATTATTTCTTATTGTTAGTTTACAAATGTATTACTTGTTATTTATTAACAATATTATTTGTATGTATGTATTATTATTGTTTGTTTTTTTATCACTAATATTAATAATAGATATTAATATATTAGTGATGAAAGAATAATAATAAATAATATTGCTAATAAATAATACATTTGTAAGCTAGAAAAACATTAAGTTATAATACTACTAATAAATTTATTGTATAATAATATTTTTATCACAAATGTATTGTTTTTATGTATTGTTTAATAATATTTTTTATCACAAATGTATTGATGTATTGTTAAACAATACATTTGTGATAAAAATATTAAACAATACATAAAAACAATACATTTGTGATAAAAATATTATTAAATAATATTTTTATCACAAATGTATTGTTTTTATGTATTGTTTAATATAATTTTTATCACAAATGTATTGTTTAATAATAATATTTTTTATCACAAATGTATTGTTTTTATGTATTTAATATAATTTTTATCACAAATGTATTGTTTAATAATAATATTTTTTATCACAAATGTATTGTTTTTATGTATTGTTTAATATTTTTATCACAAATGTATTGTTTAATAATAATATTTTTATCACAAATGTATTACTTATTATTTATCATTAATTTTACTTATTTAATTTTTTTTCAAATATGATTATTGATATTACTTTTTTATAATACAGTGGTACCTCGGCTTACGAACGCCTTGGTAATGTAATTTTCAGTTTACAAATTAAAATCCATTGAAAATAATGCCTCAGTTTATGAATTTTTTTCGCAATACGAAGCAAGTTTACCCAGGATGCATTGCGCCTAGGAGGTTTATAGCACCACCCCGTGCATGCTGGAGTCTGTGGGTAGCACGTGGCAGCGAGTGTGGAGGTGTTTTTCAATGCATTCCTATGGGAAACCGCATTTCGGTTTACAAATTTTTCGCAATGCAAAACGTCCCGGAGAAGGCATTAATTCGTAAACCGGCTCACCACTGTATATTATTATTATTATTATAGTTTACAAATGTACTACTTATCAATATTATCAATATTTTTATGTAATTATTACTAACTAATGTATTACTTATTATTATTTATTATTAATATTACTTAATATGAATATTTGTTTTTTATTATTCTTGTTACTTTTAATAACTTATATATTATGGTTTACACATGTATTCATATTTATTATTCATATTGTTTATTTATTGTTAATATTTAAAAATATATTACGAACGTATAATTTTAATAGTATTTTTATTATTATTATATATATATATATACATATACATATATATATATATATATATATATATTAATTACACAGATTAAATCATCTTTCTGCCTCCAGTCTGCGATTGGGCAGTGAAGGAGAGGCAGCAGCCGGATGAGCTCATCTTTCTGTCACTATGATCTCTCCTCCTATCAGCATGTTTCTTGTTAGCACATGAGCACTGCAGCACACCTGATTGGCTGCTTTGTGTTGCTTCTCCCTCTCCCCGTCTGAGAGCTGCTATAACTGTGTTGCACTGCTCTTCAATTCAGAACGGAGTTGTCACTCATGTAGGCTGCGCCTGCTTGCACTCCCAGCGATGAGAAAATATTTTCAGGGGGGTGTGGCTATCAGAATTGTCAATGCTGATTCTCAAGTCTGTAGTTGGTCGGCCAACACCTGGCCACACCTATTCCAGCCCACTGTTTTCTAGATTGACGGCACTGCTGCCAAATGTCTGGGAGGGGGAGCGCTGGAGACACAAACGAAGGAGGATTTGGCTGCCTCAAGGGAGGTAAAGGAATTTGTTTTCTTTACGGGGATTGCGCGTCGTTCAGGGACTGGATTTGGATCTTTTAGTTGTCCTCATAGAAAGTTTACACAAACCGAAAAGAATACTTTACTTATGTTTTATTTCACATTTTTATGTAAAGTTGATCCAGGGAATATCCGTTTGGCTCTCGGGGGATCAGGAAGGAATTTTTCTCCCCTGCAGGAGCAAATTGCATCATGCTTTGCTTTTTTTTTTTTGCCTTCTTCTGGGTCAACTGTGGGTGTAGGATAACTTTTTTTTTTTTTTTTTTAATGGTTGAACTGGATGGACTTTTGTTTTTGTTTTTCAGCCAGACTAACTATGTAACACACCTGATATTTCAGCTTCCCATCTTTAAATAGGCGAAGTGTGTGCTGCCGTTCCAGCGAGTCTCCATAGACATGGCTGAGGTCAACCTACAAGACAGATTACAATGATATCAGCATATGTTTGGGGTACTCCCTTTATACTTGTAGACAAATTCAAACACAGCCAATGAATAGATCTTCATAAATTGGTACCAAATGTCAGGTATAGACAGGGGAGTGCCCACATTAATAATGATAAGTTGAAATTTCAGCCCGTTGAATTTGAAATATTTAGTTAGAGATTCTGCTGAATGTTACATTTTATTATGATGGAATGCAGTTGTGTAACCATCACTTCCATAACTCGGCTACTAACATTTCGAAATGTAGATACTACTCTAGAAAACCGAAGACAAAAGATAGAGAACCTTCTGCGCTGCCAATCCTAAAATCAGAAACAAAATCAGAGTGGCTGCCAGGACTTAACTAAATCACCAAAATAGTGGAAAACAAAAAAAAATGAACAAGCGGGTGGTGCTGCACCACCCCAACCCAATATACTGTATTTTTCGCTCTGTAAGACGCACCTAGGTTTTAGAGGAGGAAAACAAGAAAAAAAAAATATTCTGAACCAGTGGACTGCAGACATAGTACAGGAGATGACCAGAGACTGCGCACGCTGCGCGGGGGATGACCAAAGACTGCGCGCGGGGGGATGACCAGAGACTGCGCACGCGGTGTGGGGGATGACCAGAGACTGCGCACGCGGCGCGGGGGATGACCAGAGACTGCGCACGCGGCACGGGGGGATGACCAGAGACTGCGCACGCGGGGGGATGACCAGAGACTGCGCACGTGGCGCGGGGGGATGACCAGAGACTGCGGACACGGCGCGGGCGGTGACCAGAGACTGCGGACACGGCGCGGGCGGTGACCAGAGACTGCGGACACGGCGCGGGCGGTGACCAGAGACTGCGGACACGGGGCGGGCGGTGACCAGAGACTGCGGACATAGTACAGGGGAGCAGAGGGTGGGGGGAGTGTGTACCCGAATTTGACAGGTACCCGCTCCCACTTCCGCAGAGTTGTCCTCCCTCCCTGTCTTCTGGGACATGTGACAGGTCCCAAAAGACTGCCGGACCATTCACAAAGCGCAGCGCTTCCCGTGCATGCGCAGTGGGCACCCGGGAGAGAAGACGGTGAGGACAGCGCTGGACCAAGGAGCACAGAAGAGCTGAGCGGCCAGCCCAGTATTCTCACATGGCGGCAGCGGGAATACTGGGCCGGCCGATCCATATACGCTCCATAAGACGCACAGACATTTCCCCCCATTTTTGGGGGGGGGAAAAGTGCAAATTATGGAGTAAAAAATACGGTAAATAAGTGAAATAAATAGAATGATATGTGAACACAGAAATGAGTGAATCATGAACTATAACTCAATCTAGTGAATAAAAAAAACAATAAGGTGAAAATAATGCTCCCTCAATGGCAAAATAATACATATTGAATGAAAAATCATCAGGGGAATAGTGAAGAGAAATATAAATAGAATGAGCTCAATACAGAGAATATTACAACTCCTCTTCACCTAATAATGAAGGCAACCAAAAAAATCTAATACATATGAAATGAATACATAAAAAAAAAAAAAAAAAAATCAAGGGACTAAATCGTCTTGAATGACATGACAAAGAAACCCCATGTGCCAAAAATAAAGCAAAGAAACAACAATGTGACCAAAAAACTGTTCATTCAACAGGTGACAACGTCCGGTGATCACTCCAACAAGTGGAATAGACTCCCTCAAGAGTTGTTTCTGGCTAGCTCAGTGGATTTCTTTAAAAAAGTCCTGGATTATTTCTTGGATACACAGAATATAACTGGATAGAACATTTATAGGTAAAGTTGATCCAGGGAATATCCGATTGCCTCTCGGAGGATCAGGAAGGAATTTTTTTTCCCAGAAGGAGCAAATTGGATCGTGCTTTGCTGGGCTTTTTGCCTTCCTCTGGATCAACTGTGGGTTTAGGATTATAACTTTTTTTTTTTTTTAGTGGCTGAACTGGATGGACTTTTGTCTTTTTTCAGCCAGACTAACTATGTAACATCGCATACTAGCACATTATTATAGACTTGCCTTAAAACAAAGCCCTCCATCGCCCTGCTGTCGGTACTTCGATCTTCACCCGGTCTTCCTTCGAGGTTCGCGCTCCCCAACCGTTTTGGTTCGATGACGTCACAGTCGTGGCACAACGCTCTCAATGGACTGCATACTCCATAACGCCATCCATATAGAGTGCTGTGCACATGCGCCAATAACGTCATCGGCCGCTACAGATGTGAGTATCTCCTAAATGGTACGTTTTGGAGATAAACACTGTACCTCCAGCTTTATTATAGGCTCACCTGTAGGTTCAAGTCATAAAGCAGCGTTTACTACTGCTTTAAAGCTGAAGGTAAAGTGGTTGTGAAGGTTTTCGGTGATTTCAATTCTACCGATGCATGTCCTGTACAGTCACCGGCGCCGTTCGGGAACTTTCCAAAAATGTAACCACTGTCAGCCAATCACGGTGGTCACATGATCATAAATTCCTCCCTGCATCACAAACCCATTAATAGGTCCAGGAGGTGCTGCTCCAAAGGGTTATATGCACTTACTGTTCAGCAAATCGCCAAAAAGTAGATGACGGGGACACTTAAAGGTTTTCGGTGATCTCAATTCTACCGGTGCGTGCCCTGCACAGTCACCGTTTAGGAACTTTCCAATCATGTAACCACTGTGCCAGCCAATCACGGTGGCCACATGATCATAAATTCCTCCCTGTATCACAAACCCATTAATAGGGCCAGGAGGTGCTGCTCCAAAGGGTTATATGCACGTACTGTTGAGCAACTCGCCAAAAAGTAGATGACAAGGACACTTAAAGGTTTTCGGTGATCTCAATTCTACCGGTGCGTGCCCTGCACAGTCACCGTTTAGGAACTTTCCAATCATGTAACCACTGTGCCAGCCATCACGGTGGCCACATGATCATAAATTCCTCCCTGTATCACAAACCCATTAATAGGGCCAGGAGGTGCTGCTCCAAAGGGTTATATGCACGTACTGTTGAGCAACTCGCCAAAAAGTAGATGACAAGGACACTTAAAGGTTTTCGGTGATCTCAATTCTACCAGTGCGTGCCCTGCACAGTCACCGTTCAGGAACTTTCCAATCATGTAACCACTGTGCCAGCCAATCATGGCGGTCATATGATCATAAACCCCTCCCTGCATCACAAACCCATTAATAGGGCCAGGAGGTGCTGCTCCAAAGGGTTATACGCACTTACTGTTGAGCAACTCGCCAAAAAGTAGATGACAAGGACACTTAAAGGTTTTCGGTGATCTCAATTCTACCGGTGCGTGCCCTGCACAGTCACCGTTCAGGAACTTTCCAATCATGTAACCACTGTGCCAGCCAATCACGGTGGTCATATGATCATAAACCCCTCCCAGCATCACAAACCTATTAAAGGGCCAGGAGGCGCAGCTCCAGGGGGTTAAATGCACTTACTGTAGATCACCTCGCCACAAAAGTAGATGACGAGGACAGATAAAAGTTTTTGGTGATTTCAATTCTACGGCTGTTTTTCTTTGTTTTTGGCAAAGAGTATCTAATTTCTTTGCTGCCAATTCCTCTCTTTGCACTCTAATGCATATTTTTTATTCTCTGGATGTTAGAGCAAATCCAAACCAATGCATTGAAATCCGAGAGGAAATGAATATGGTCTGAGGTAAATAAAATGTAACGGGAATGAGCTGGACGCGACATTTGGCCGATAATGGCGACTTAATACTCCTTACAGGAAACGTTTTATTATGTGAAAACATGCACTCAAAATAAGCACAGCTGGGCCCGCTTCGCTTGTTTTTTCCTGCTGCTTCGGATTTACAGAGAGAGCAATTCTCAATTTCCAAATGAACTTTCAATTAAAAGTCCAGCCAGAACTTTTCTTTTTTTTTCTTTTTTTGAGAGTGCCACGGGTGTCAAACTGGTGGCCCTCCAGCTGTTGCCAAACTACAAGTCCCATGAGGCATTGCAAGATTGACAGTTACAAGCATGACTCCCAAAGGCAGAGGCATGATGGGACTTGTAATTTCGCAACAGTTGGAGGGCCGCCAGTTTGAGTAACGCAGGCCATACATGGGTCGAATTCCGAAAATCAAAAACGTTCGCTCGGTACTCCAATGGTGCCATCAATCATTTCGAAAATCGGCCAACCAAGTCATAAAGTTCACCCCATATAACAGGTGAAACTTCCGTTCCTTCCAGGTCACGGCTCATGCGCATATTCTTTTCGGAAAAACGATCGTACGATTTGACCGTCATTGAATCGAAAATCGGTCGTTTTTCACAAATTTTCCAACATGCCCGTTCATCGAAAAGGGGAGGAACCATGAAATCGGCCGGTGCCATTGACCCACTAACAGAGCGAAAATCGGCCGATTATTCTTACGGACGAAAAATCGGTCGAATTTCAATCCATGTATTGGCCAGCATTAGACCCTCCAAGGTGTTCACTGCTCTCTGTGTCCATGTAGGGGCGATTTGTCTCTGTTCCAGGTAGCAGAAGTCGCTATGGAAATGAAGCAGAATCTCCCCCAGGACACAGATGGCAATAGAAAACCTAACAGAATTTCTAACCTTTCCTATGCATGAAGGTAAAAAAAAATACCTGTGTGCAAATCCCAAAGAACCCCCCCACCCCCCTCTCTCTATACTTACCTACGCCCGATCGTGATCTAGGCTCTCTCCCTTCCCATTGGCTCAAACACAGCAGCGATAGCCATTGGCTGCCACTGCTGTCAATCACAACCAGTGAGGCGTGGGTGGGGCTGAACCCCGGTTTCGTGTGTGTTAACCGCTTTCCTGCCGCCCTATAGCAGAAGTACTGCTATAGGGCAGCAGGACTGCGCCAAATCACGTATATATATGTGATTTGCATTTCTGGGTAGGCGGCACGAGCGAACCGCCCTACCTGTGCCACCATTGGCAGCTATGGATGTCAATCACCAGGTCCCAGCCGACATTCGGCGATCGCCGGGTAAAGCTGATGGCATAG